GGCCATTATTTTACATACTTTTGGGGACTTAGTAAATGGCTACTTTATAGACTTATAAGTACTATAACCCCAATTAGGGTTCTTGTTAGGGTACTTATAAGTCTACTTCTTACCTACTTACTAAGTCTCCCGAGAAGTAGGGCCTCATAGCACAGAGGATGGGCGCCCTGGCCAAGCTCTCCAAGCACTCCGCGCAGTCGGAGCCGCAGCCTCGGTTTGCGGTTTAGGGTTTATGGTTTAGGGCTTAGGGTTTCAGGTTTAGGGCTTAGGGTTTAGGGTTTAGGGTTTTAGGGTTTAGGGTGCAGGGTTTAGGGTTTAGGGTTTAGGGTCAGAGCTCCTCATCTTGGAAAAGAGGGCTCAATGGATAGGGACAGTAGACGTTACCTCGTACATGTGCTGTTACATGTAGATGTGCATGTCTGGTGTGGTGTTGATACAGAAGGACAAGGTATCTTCATACACATGGGCTTACATATTTTCTAGCCTGGTCCTGCTGCAATGCCGTTTGGTTTTGACATGACTTGTCATCGATCAACTCACATGGTTTCGCCTGCCCTCATACCTCGCAGATAGATCCATGGACACTCCAGCCCTAAATCCTGAACTCTACATTCCCAGACTTTAAAACCGAAAGCCTTAAGGAGTCAACCCGATCCCTGAGCACGCCTTCTCATTCCCAGTTTGGGGCTTGATTCACCGACATTGCTGCACCAGTCCTTGCTATTACATGCGTCTGTAAATACATCTGGTTCTTGCGATCTTTCCAGCTGAGTTTGTAAACTTGAAACTTTTTTGGGATACTATAACCACTCATTGAAGCTGAACATCTAAATGCACTTTTGGTTGGCGTAGCCGAGCAACTAAGCTATCCTGCACGGAGGCAGAAATAAAGACAAAACAAACCCAAATGTCCCAAATTGGTATTGCTTTGCACAGCAATCCGTTGCATCTAAGCCCTGTCGCTCAGTCGTGCTGTGGAGACACTGTTCAAAGCCTTGGATGGAGCCATGCGGAGCTACTTGGAGCAAGCTAACCTACCTCCACATACTGTGACGAGCTAGGTAGAGCAATCAGGTTCTACTGTATATATAATAGTCTAGGGAACCGTAGAGACTAGGGACGAGTACAGCTTGACTCCATGCAACTAGAACAGTAAACTACGATAAGATGTGGCTGTTCGCGAGTACAAGTCGAACTGCGTACAGGAGGACTTTAGCACGGATACGGATGAGGATACAAGTGCAGACGAACATATGGCCTGGCTGCAAGAATGTGATGTATATATGCATATACATATACACATACATAAAGACGGACAGGCATACCTACATACATGCATACATACATACGTACATACATACATACATACATACATACATACATACATACACACACACACGTGTACCATGCTCCTGCTATGCAGGAGAGGCGTGTGTCCCAACAGGTACAGTAGAGCTTGAGAAAGTCATTATTCTTCACTCGTTTTCTTGCAGGTGTGCAGAAGTTTCAGTCACCGTCCATGGTTGCATGAATATTTGGCATGCAAGAGCGGAGCAATGACGTGATGAGATGCTTCAGCCGACAATCCACAAACCAAGTACATGTCATTCTCCAGCATAGCTTGGAACTTCGTGGTTCGGGAACTAATTCTGCATTTACAGCTTGACTTGGCATTCTGATTGCCGAAAAAACCTTTAGAAGAGGACACTGAATCACTGAAGCCCTTTGCAAGCTTCCTCATCTCGCCCTGCAAATCTCTGGCAACTGGTATATGATAGGGTTTAGGGTTTAGGGTTTGGGGTATATGTAGCCTCGCCACAGATCGCAGCATACGAGATTTGCAAATTCACTGCCCCTTTCTCGGGGCCTCTTATAGATATTCGGGGTTCTATTGTTTCACACCTTTACTAGGGCCCCCTAAACCCTAAACCCTAAACCCTAAACCCTAAATAGGGCCCCTCCCTTTTTTCTAAGACTCCCACTGGACCAAGGACACGAACATGCGTTGGTCTGGTCGGCGCGGATCCCCAAAGGGTCCAAGTGCCATTATAGTAGGTACTTAGTAGGTATTTGGGCCCCAAAAGTATACTAAACCCTATAAACCTTAAACCAGAAACCCTAAACCCTAAACCCTAAACCCTAAACCCAAACTAGACTAGTACTTGGACCCTTTGGGTCCTTGTTTCCAGGTCGCGGGTTGTTGACGCTTCAGTTTAGGAGGGCGGTTTGGGGACCAAAGGGACTCCAACAAGTAGCAGAATGTTTGGGGCAATGTAGAGGTCGTATGGAACTATAGAGGGCTATAGAGGGCTTTAGGTATAAGCCATCCATTCCGTGCCTGGGGGCTCAGATGAACGAGCCGCTTGCAGGAATTTGCTTTGGAAGTTTAGGTCACATTGCACTCTTTGCTCTTCTGTGCAGAAACCAGAGGCTGCTCCTGTCAGTCGTGGCAGCCTATCTTCGTGCCAGCTGCCAGGACGTCCAGTCACCAGGAGCAGGAATGAAACCTGTCGTCTTAATTCATCATTCTCGCAGTGGTAGGTGTGATTATCATCATCGTGGTGGTTGTCCTGCCGGTCGTCACGGTCTCGTCGTCGTGTTGATGGACTGCTGCGCTGGGGTTTCAGTTGGGACGCTGGGGTTGGTGCGACCCCTGGTGCTGGTGCAGGCGGCAGTGAATGCAAGGGAGGCAGTAGTGTAGTCGTCGTAGGAGTTGCAGTGTAGCTAGTGGTAGTGAATTCGTGACCGTGCATGACGAAAGTGCTGTAAATACCGAGTAAAACGGATGTGCTCTTAAGATGGTGTTAAGCAAGTGTAGTTGGTAGGGGGACGGGGGCGCCTACTACTACTACTACTACTACTACTACAACTATTGCTACCACCGCTACCACTACCACTTAGAACTCCTACTATCAGTTGCATGTGTTTGCACAGAGTTCTCGAGAGCGCAAGCCAAATACCCTCCGCGCGAACGCAAAGAGTCTGGCACAAGTCACGCATCCTTAAACCCCTATTATGACTAAGGTCCTCAACTCTTTGAGCATTCTGGTCTCCAGCGCCTCTTGCTGCCAGATGCTCTTCACAGCAGGTCGCCCATTGTGAAAGAGCGTGTTGAATCGGCTTCGGCTCGGGGTCCTAAAGTAGTCCTGGGACTGCAACAAAAATGCGGATGCAGCTAGGGAGGTTGGTAGTGTCATTTCTTGCATCTTTAGGTTCTGCGCTCATCGGTTAGGAGTGCAGTTTCATGGCTGCCTGACGTTCCCCAAACCGTTGTAGCTGCACAGCCAATGTGTCCACATCGAGCGGCCGGGGACGGCGCCTTTGAGCAGGTATTGACATTGTTCTCTCCGTACGGCCTGAACTCAAGCTGTGTCCCGTGGCTTCGATCCAAATGGCCGTATCCGTCTCTGGAGTTTTGGACAGGTATATCTCCTCCTATATGCATGTACGTATCTATACATATATATATATATAATATGTATATGGATGAACATACGATATACACACACACACATGCCAGCAGATGTATAAAACAGACACGATCTTCTGCACAACCTGTATACCGGTTTGGAAAGTTTCACAACTTGCACAAATATGTCGTTCGTTACATGTTACATTAGTATAAAACTATGTATGCACGCATGCACCGTTGCGGTGAGTATACATCTGTATGTATGTTTACATGCATCTATATATATATATACATATGTATATGTATATGTATATGTATATGTATATGTATATGTATATGTGTATGTATATGTATATGTATATGTATATATCTATGTATTCACGTGTGTGTATATATGTATCTGTATACAATCGAACATACATGCACACATATGTACATGCATACATACGTACATCCATACATACCTACATACATACATACATACATAGCTTACATGCATACATGCATACATGCATGCATACATATACATACACACACATATATGAGTATGTATATATATATATGGTAAATATGTATGTGGGTAAGTATACAGTTATAACATACATACATACATACATACATACATACATACATACATACATACATACATACATACATATAGAGATTTATACCCATATAGATAGATAGATAGATAGATAGATAGATAGATAGATAGATCGATAGTTGGACGGATAGATAGATACATGGATAGATTCCTGGATAGATAGATAGATAGATAGATAGATAGATAGACAGATGGAACGATAGATGGATAGATAGATGGATAGATGGATGGATAGATAGATAGCTAGGTAGGTAGGCAGGTAGGTAGGTAGGTAGATACCTTCATAGGTACATAGACAGATGGATAAATGGATAGATACATAGATAGATAGAGACGGGTCCTAGATAGATAGATAGATAGATAGATAGATGGATCTGTTTGCGTGGCTATGTTTTCGCACATACATGCATGTGTAAACCTGGAAGTGCATGCACAATCTCATGAACCTCCACAGAGCACATCCCTCTTGAGAACATTCTCGCGTGGCAGACTCAACCCAGCAGGCTTTATCCCGTTGCTGCATCGGGTCCTTGAGGCGCACACTGCTGCGGCTTTGACGTGTTCGGGGCTCTTTCAGGTATAGCCATTACTTCAATGCTGGGAGCGATTCTTATCCAGAGCAGTGGGCTTCTTAGCTAGAAGGTTGTACGAAGCATGAAGGTCATTCATCACGGTCGAAACTGTCAGTTCAGGCCGGCAACAGTCTCAAGGTTTTGGGCAAACTTGTCGCCGGTAGGCTTTGGTTCATGACTCGCAGCCCAGTGGGCGAGCATTGTCATAAAATTCTATGTGATCAACAGACTAGAGGCAGTCGTGTTCTTTTGTCCGTAGTTGTGGTCGTGAACCTGAAATCATGCATGCTGTCGATAGTGGTACCCTTTCAGCAGCATGGCTGCTGCGACACTTGCGCTACAAATCGCAACTTGATTCTGATGGTTGGCCTCCTTCATGCTATCGCATTTCATTGTTGTGTCTTCGGTCTCACCCGAGTGGCGGGCCTTGCCATTATCATGATAATGTTTTTTCCTGAGCTTGTCCTGTATGTATTCACGCACGCATGCATGCATGAATGGATGTAAGTAAATAAGTATGCACGTATGTATGCATGCATGCACATATGTATGCACATGTGTATGTACATACATATGTAACCAACTGCAGATGTATGTGGGGATGTATGTACATGGACATGTACGCTTAGGCTCACTTAGGTACAGGTTTATGCTTTGCGTGTGTAAAAATCTCGTATCTGCATATGTGTATACATTTGTCCATGGGGTTCGGGATGTCCACGGTGTTGTTTCAATCGTTTCTTACGGCCCCCTGCCTCTATCCTCAACGACCAACGGTAGCACTGGAGTTAGATAGAGACCTCGGGGCATTTCCGTTGCATCTAGCGAACAACAAAGCCCTCACCTCACAGACTCGCGAAAGAGCCTTAAACTGTAACCACGAAGCTAGACCCTGACGCCTACCCTCAGGTCCTTTTTTTGTCTATTGGAATGCGACATGCGTGTTTGGCATAGGTTCTCATACAAGAGGGAACACTGAAGTTGCAACATCACTCCCACAAACAAACATAGACCCGGTTCTCATCGTGTAGGACGTCGCACATGAGGGTTGATCTAGTCCCAGACCTTAACCCCTGAACCGTAAACCCTAAACCCTAAACCCCAAACCCCAAACCCTCATTTCTGCAGGTCTACACTGCTTTCTCGGGAATTCTACCGAAAGCGCTTGCGAGACGAGATGCCGACCTCTCCTGTTTGCCGTTGCTGAAGCTTTGGGCTTGGGGGTCAGGGCTTTGGGTTTAGGGTTTAGGGTTTAGGGCTCGGCTTAACAGAAAGTAGGGCTCGCTGTAAGGACCTACTTAACGTGGTAGTTTCAGCAGTTTCTCTGCAAAGACGAGTCTTCAATTTGGTCAGTAGAGTTTTCAGGGCCCGACATTCTCCATGCTTCAGACCCCGAACTTTAAGCCCTAAACCCTGAACCCTGGATGTGAGCCCTCTACTTGCTGGACCTGCTGGATCTGCTGAACTACCAGCTCACCTTGCTCCTCCTCGCGGATCACATGGTGATGATGCGCCTCGTCGACCTCCACCTCCACGACCTCGGCCACGTGAAGAAGGAGACCCTCTTTCAATAGGGTTTAGGGTTTAGGGTTTAGGGTTCAGTACCTCTTGTGGGTCCTGTTCCTCTTCACCCTCGTGATCATGGAGCTGGTGATGGAGATGGACCTGGTGGTCCTTCTCGTCCTGGGCGTGATGAACATGGAGGTGACAGCAGGATGACGGTGGTCTTGGAAATGGTGAAGGAGAAGAATGACATGTTGAAACTGGCGACAAGGGTGACACTACATGGGACGAGGTTGGAGGCCGTGAGGGAGTTCGAAATGAGGTTGCTTTCTTCTCGTCTATGGCATCTACACGATTCCGTCCGGGGCTACGTGTTTGTATCACCCTGTGTAGGCCCAGTGGGCAGGCGTCGATTCGACAGAAAGAAGGGCCATTACAGATTAAAAGAGAAAACCCTAAGCCCTAAACCCTGAACCCAAAACCCCCGGAACCGTCGACAACTCTCGAGCCTGGGGCTACGATGTCAGCAGTCTGTAGCCATAAACCCGAAGATCATCCGCCCTGCTTGTTGCCCCAGATCTTGGTCAATCCTTTAATTGGGGAAGATGCCTTAAGATAGTAGAACAGAATCCGCCAATATGAGGTAAGGTATATTCCTTAGTCCAGTGACTTTGGACATAGACTTCTACAAAACAACCGATTATAGTCGACGAAAAACAGTAACAACAATAATGCAAGTAATGACAATTACAATAATAATGAAGACATGATGTTCTACAAAAATCTATAGCAGCACTTGGAAGATCCTGGTGGCAGGAGAAGCTCAAGACCATGACCCAGAAGGCGCCAGAGTTTGTTTCCACCTTCAAGCCCTCCGCGCAACTTGGCAAAGGTATGGTTGTGGGTTAGGGCTTGGGGGTTTAAGGTTGAGGGGTGTCGGGTTTAGGGTTTCGGTTTTGGTATTTAGGATTTTGGGCTTCAGGTTTAGGGTTTCGGTTTTAGGGTTCGGGTTTAGGGTTTCGGGATTAGGGTTTAGGGACAAGGGATTGGGTTTCGGCATTTCAGACGGCAAGCCGAGAAGCTGGCACTGTCTTGTTCCGCGAAGCACGATGCAGACCAGTGCAGGGAAAGCACGCTGCAGACTAATACAGCCTGGAACTTCTGGCCACGTTTACTGTGTGTCTAGCAAAGTTGAGGCGCGTGATGGTTCCAATCCTTGTTTGAACAATCCTAGCTCAGAGTGGAACGGAACGGGCCCCGACAACACCTTCCCCTCGAAGAACACCAGCAATCATGTATGTATGTGTGTATATATATAGAGAGAGAGAGAGAGAGTCCTAATAGATTCATTTCCTTGTCCAGCCAGGGCAGCTCGCACAGCTCCCACGTAGTGCGGTTGTGGTTTGAGACTTTGCTTTTGCACCAGGATACAGAGAAATCCCGAGACGCTGAAGGAGTGGCCGGCTCCTCAGTTTCAAAACAGAAGCCCCATGCACCAGACATCCCGCAGGCGACGCTGCGGTTGCCTTGCAATAGTTGGAAACAGACCGGAGGCCATCGGCGATCGTCGTGGTGTTCTTGTCTTTTGCAAGCAGAGAACGAGGAAGTCCTCCTACCAGAGCAAGCATCAATATTGCAGGCTTTGTCACCACCCTCGCACCTTGAGCCAGGAACCGTGTATATCCTTAGAGCCCGAAAATCTTGAGCTTCAGAACCACTAGAACTGCCCCGAAGCTCACACTGAGGTGGCTGAAGAAATCCGTGTCTTTACCCGAGCTTCCCGAGACAGGGTCGGCACCACGTCGACCCTCCATCGCTTGGTCGCGAACTTAGAAGAGCAAGCTATGCTTGGGTCTTACAGCTAGGGCTTCAGAAAAAGGCAAAGTATTTCAGTCCGGACGAGGTGGAGGATTTAATCCCAAGAGGCTGCGATGATGAAGGCGACGGACGAACGGACACAGTGATTTTGTTGTCCGCGTTTGTTTGTGCGTGCAGCTAGTTCTCACTTGCATTCATTCCAGACTCCACCAGTACCACAGCTTAAGTGCTACTGCAGCTGCGACTACTACTTCGACGGCAACTGCGACTGCTACTACGACTCCCACCACAACAAGAACTACTTCTTCTACTTCTACTTCTCCTTCTCCTGCTACTACCGACGACGACTACTGCTATTCCTACTTCCACTACCAATACCACTACCACAACCACGACCACTACGATTACCACTGCCACTACCACTACGTACCACCTACCCTGCTACACGCCTACTCCTACTGCGACTGCTACTGCCACTCCCACTCCTACTGCCACTGCCGCTGCCACCGCCACTGCTACTGCAACTGCTACTGCGGCTACTGCTGCGGCTACTACTGTGATGAACATTACTACCTATAGTCTCCATTGCAGTTCCTTTTTGGGGATACCTTATAGAATCCTTAGTATATACTTGGTTAAACCAAAAGAAGGAACTACAATGGAGACGATAGGTGCTACCTACTTTGCTCTTGTCGGTGCCTTCTGCGAGCCCAGAGACTCCAGGCTCTCTGAGTCCCGGTCTTCGAAGGAGACCAGCGGACACAGGTGCACAGCTAGAATCAGCTATAAAGAAACTTTATTGTATATAATATATAGTAAAGTTTCATTATAGCTGATTATATATATATATATATATATGTTTATATGCATATATATATATATATACATGGTCCCCCCCCGCCCATGACAGACCAGCCCCTTCAAAACCCTGCTCCCACCGGTGATTCCGGCCTTTTTCGTGGCTTCGGGTTTCAAGCCCTGCTTTCGGCTGGCTTTAACCGCTCAACCGAGAACAACAAAACACAAAGACAGCACAGATCCGTAGAGAATGCTGCAACTGCATTGATGTATATATATATATATATATGTGTGTGTGTGTGTGTTGGTTGTTTGTTTTTGTAGGTATTTTGGTGTTTTTGTTTTGGTGTTCCGATTGCTATGTGTAACTGGCACTGTAAGAAAATCTGTAAAACCCAACCCAAAAAACTAACACTGAACGAACTGTAAAGAACCCAAAACACTCAAAACACAACCAAAGCACAAAAACCAACACGGTTCCGGCATTCTCTTTGGATCTTTGTTTTTTTTGTTTTGTTTTGTTGCTCTCGTCCTTCATCTTTGGTGTTGCGCGCCTGGGCTCGGCCGGAGACCCCCACACCAAGGCCCTAGGCCTTGAATACCCAAGCTTCTATACAGTTCGTTTTAGAATTCTACGATTGGTTCATGACTCATGTAGGTTTGACCTACAGGTTTTTGAAAACATTCTGTTATTGAATACTCTGGTACCAGTAGTCCTTCCATAGCAAATTATTTCATTCAGTGCTGGCTTGTGCTTACACACCATGCCCATATGTGCAACCGGGCTTATTAAGCCTCTCACAGGAGTCACAACTGCAACAGATCTCGCAGAAGTATCTATCATCAACCATATAATTAGAATAAACCATATCGTTGTTTGTAGAGTTGGGTTCTTCCGTGAATCCTTGTCTTGTCGAGCCGATTTTATATCCAGGTCAGTAGTGGTTTTGTCTAATCATCTGTCGTTGTCGCTTTTACACAGACACACTTTAGTTGAGCTTCCACCTCCCTACGCACCATCATTTTCAAAATTGTTCCATTTGTTTTGCAGTCTTTTATCATTAACTTAACTTGGCCCATGACTTCGCTACTTCATTCAATCGTGTATGCAACACCAAGCCGTATTGCCAGATAAATGCCGGTATAACTGGCTGTAATCTTAAGACGATTGCATCAAACTCGTAGGTTCTGTTTTCAGAACAGTAAATTTCGACAATAGCAGGTGTGCGTAGCAGTGCGCGACCCGCTATTATGATTGCTGGATGTTGCAGGTATTGGTATGATGTGTACTAGGATTATAATCGTCATGCACCTACAAGGTTCCACTTGTTTTGCAGTCTTTTACCATGAACTTAACACTGGTCGATTACTTCACTGCTTCATGCAGTCGTGTATGCAACACCAAGCCGTATTGTCGGATGAACGCAAGCATAGCAGCAATCTTTTAATTACCTTCATTACATTAACATTCTAAGTGTATGTGTGACACGGACAGTAAATTTCGGCAATCAGCAATTCGCAACAGTTCGTGACCCATTAATATAATTGTAGGTATCGGCGTGTGTCCTGGAATTAAAACCGTCATACACCTACGTGCCTATCCAATCCCCAATGCCATTCTCAGGCATACTTAAATTACGGAGACGTTCTGCCATGCGCGAATGATCGTATCAAGTGTAGTCAGTGTATTCTTAGTATTACATTTACCAATGCGGGAGTTACCACTATCAATATCCTTGTTGCTGTGGTTGAAGTGGCCGTTCTGCTTCCTTCGGTATTACCAGCCCAGTGAACACTCTGTACCTCCTCATTTCGTATTTGCTCCAAGTTACATTTATCTGGGTTTATCACTCTTGTGCACGTAGTTCTGGGTAATCGGTGCATTCTTGAACAGTTGGTAATCACATTATTTCAGGCCAACCAAACATTATCAGGCACTTGTATCAGTTGTTGAGTCCTGTGTTTAGTCACATTCTGATTAGTATGTAACTACCAAGTCTTAGTCCCGGAATAGCCACATTTGTGCTGAACTTTACTAGAACGATGGGCTAGTCCGGCAATGCATTGAAGCTGGAGGATCGATACTGTTGAAACAAATAATTCAATATGTGGCTGCTTGCTAAATTTGTTTTCAGCCGGTCGGTTCTTCATCTACTGTCCCTATTCCAACAAGCCTTTACATGCTTGTTCAGAGTTTAGGTCATCTGAAGTCTGCGCATGAGTTACAAGTCATTTCCATTCCTTTGTTGGTTGGTCGGACATGGTCTTGTCTTTGGGTAAAACACCTGAAAAATGTTACACCTTGTAAATGATGACCAGTAAAGAATCATGTGGACTTGTGTTATTGTATTGATCAGAGGTCTGTACCGTAAGCACCTGTTAAAGCCATACAGACATGAAAAGGCAGCAATTAGGGACCCCCCGCCCAAACACGAAGCACGCATAGGTCGATGTCTTACATATTTATCTGCATATCTCAAGCCAGCATATTGGGTTTGCTGTTTTTTTTCGGAATGCTGCTGCAAGTGTACGGGCGTGCTTTATAACCGGACTGAAGCAATCAGTGAACCGGTCTTTACGCAGAGATTGCTAGTCAACATCTATGTTGGCACCGGGCAAAAGGGAGAAGTTTCTCAACAAATGTTTGGCAATCATCTCGCAAAAAGACTTGCCAAATGTATGGGTAAATTTTCCATTGAGGTCTCCGGGTCTTAAACAAGCCGAGGTTGAGTAAACGATTGACACAACGGTCGGCTCGAGAGAGAAATTGAAATTCTCAACCCAATGAGAGTACCCTTAAGCTTCTTTGAATTTAGCCACGTGTATATTTTCCCTGCGATGGTCTGTTGCCGGTGGTGTGGGGGTGAGCATACATAAATAAATAAACAAAAATATATATATATATATATATGTGTGTGTGTGTATGTATGTTATACTAGTTATTATCATAGTACTCTTAATCATCATAGTAATAACTCTGTATGTATACATATATATATATAAATCGTTTTGAGCTTCGGGGAAGTTTAGGGCTTAGTGCTTGGGGATCCTAGTTGGGGGTTGGCTGACTTTTTGGGCCTTTCTGACTTTGGTGGGTGGTGGTTCAGGGTTTGTGTTCCTTGCTTGTAGGGCTTGGCTTGCTTATGGGTTTAGGGTTTAAGGTTTAAGGTTTAGGGTCTAGGGTTTAGGGTGTTTAAGGGGTTCGGGCTTTCAATGCCAGGCCAGGCCCTTGGCACCTCAGTTTGAGCTCATACGCATCTCCAGGCTGAAGCTGCAGTTTTCCAACTAAAGGCAAATCATCCATTGACGACGAACAGGGTCCTCCGACATGCAATGGGGCGACGAGAACCCAAAACAAATCCGATCTAGCCACATGGAACCGACAAGATTTAAGGCGCATCCACAACTTTCGAGATTGAGGTTCGTGCATGATCGTCCGAGAAGCCACTTATGTCCTGCTCCCTCCTCCCGATAAAACATCCGAAAACCCTCGTCCCTGTAGACGTACCCGCACCGTAAATCTCTACGCCCGAAAGCCCTAAACCGAGCAAAAGCCCTAGACGTCAACACACTACGCCGTAGAGACTTGCCTAAGTTGGGTCACGACATGTCCGAATAATTTCCATTGCCATTCTTTAGGCTTCCCATAACATATCCTTGGCAGAATTTAACCCACAACTCTGTTCTAATAACACAGGCCCCTATACTCGAAGATAGGAGCCGGCTCTTGTCTGGATGCGTGGTTTCTGCTCAGCCATCAGGGTTTAAGGGTTGGGGTTTAGGGTTCTATTAGAGGGTGCAGACGATTTTGCATGTAGGATTCGGGTTCATCCTACATCTCCTGCGAGCCCGCATGGTCAAAGGCAGCTCAGAGAGTGTTTCCGCAACGTGCTCAGCTGCACTCCTCAGATACAGCGAAACTCAGGGCCTCAAACCATTGAACAATGAACGCTAAAGCGCGCTGATATGCTCTCATGACTATGCGGCCCCAAGCAGCATTTGTGGCTAGATATGAAACGCTGTTGGTTGTCATGCTCTCTCCATCCCTCTACATACGTTGACAGATAAGTACGACAGGTTAGACTTTCAGGTGCAGAGACAAGTATTCAGCCCTTGGATGCTCAGCCATGAAGCTCTCCCTCCCACTGAAGAGCTCTTCGGGGCCCTCCGAGCGGCGACGCGCCGTGGGGACTGGCGCGCGGCT